AAGCTCTGTGTGTGATTCCCATTTACCTATGGAAAGACTCACTCACTTCACATAGCTAGACCACAGAGGGTCCACATATAAGAGGGCATCAAAAGCATTCCCAGCTTGCTGAGTCCCAGTCCCAGATGCTCTGCTTCAAATCTGGAGTGAGGCCCAAGAATGAGCATTTCTAACAATTCCTGGGAATGCTGGGGCTGTTGGAGAGGGAACATCCTGGAGGACCCTGGTCAGCAGCATGGGTGCCCAGCGTTAAGAGCTGGGTGTTGTCCAGTAGGCACGACACCAGATTTCCAGAGCCCGTCTGGCTGCCAGACTTCAGGGACCAGCAAAGCTCATCACCGACACCCAGCTCCAAGTCTAACAGCTCCAGCTTTTCTGTCCCAGCTGAGAGGCTTGGAGCGGCAGGTCCTGTGGCCTCAGCGAAGGCACACAGAGAGAGTCAGAAATATTTTTGGAAAGAAAACCCACTGTTGAGGAGGAAAATACGACAGCATTTGGGCAGTTTCAGTATAAAGAACGAGAAACATCTGAATCGAATTACCTTTAAAATTACGCCATTTTAAAAATTAAAGGGAAAAAAAAAACTCTGGGCCAAAATGTGCTTTGAAAGATTTATGGCCTCCAAAGTGTTAGCACAACGGTTAAAGAAGCTGGGAAAAGGCCCACCGGGCGCGCAGCTTCAGCGTCTGGTCTCAGGAGCAACTCCCGCAGGTGATCCAAGGAATCTTTCCTTAGTCTAACTCCAGCGCTTCTCTTTGCTGTGGCCCCCTCGGCTGTGCAAAGGTTTTTCTGATGCATGTTTTGACTCCAAGAGGTAGCAAGCTGGTGTGGAAACACCAAACCCAGCCCCACACAGGACCAGCCCCATGGATGCCCAAGGGAGTTCAAGCAACAGAGACCTCTGTTAGGTCCCTCTGCAAGTAAATCCTGGTTCCAGGCTCAGACAACTCGCTGTCTGGAGGAGAGAGGTGCTGTCTGTCCACTGGCCAGATGAGCAGAGTGAAGCACGGTGCCAGAGGAGGAGACTTTTCCAAGGCTGGTGGCCAAGCTAAGTACTTATGCAGAGTATCTATGGAGCTGGGACTTAATGCCTCAGTAACCCACAAACACTCTTAAGCCACAATCCTAATGCAAATATCTAAAAGACACCACTAGAGAGACAGGAGCCCCTAGCCCTGGGCCCTGCTTTCTGTTGAGCTGCTGGTGGCCTTGGACAAGGCCCTCCCCACCCCATCTCAACCTCATCTACACATGGAGCGGCTCCTATTGCTCAGGAATGAGACATGCCTGCCACCCCAGCCCAATGCCCAGGAGTCCTGCCTGGGATTTCCAAGCTTTGCCACTGGGGACTCCCACTTGTCTTGCGCCCCATTAACTCACTCTCTTTCCCGGTCCTACTGGGGCTTCAGATCAGTTAGCTGTCAAGTAGCCTGATTGCTGGTAGATATTTAACAATAGGCTCTGGCAGGGGGAGGGAGGAGGACAGTCCTGATTTGTAGCATTTCTCAATTTTTGTGATGTAAATACCCTCACCACGGCCAATTTCTGCAACAACATAAGGGCACAGATGGCAGAGTTGGAAGAAGATGTGAACCAGCTTTTACACGTCGGCATGGGTTGGCTCCAGCACACCCTTGGTCTCTCAAAGGCAATGCCATCCTCATAGAGGATTCGAATAGGCCAAGGAACCCAAAAGATGAGTTTCCTGTATGCAGTGTACCTTCCCTCTGTCCCAACATCTGGACAATCACCTTTCTCGGTACCTCTATATAGTACAAAGTTGCAACAGGTGAGACAGATCTGTATCTGCTTTTTTTCACTTCATATTAGAACGTAAATTCATCTCATTAAGACTTATAAAGCCTTAACATTTCCAGTAGCTACATAATGTTCCATTCATCTATTGATGTTCCAGTTTGATGAATCAATCCCTTATCATTGAACGGTTCGCTGCTTCCAATTTCTCACAGTTATATATCATGTGGGAATGAAATCTTTCTGCCTAACTGTATGTTCATTCTTAGAACCAAAATCATCAAGCTCCAACGGTGGACTTGAGTGCAATGTGCTGGGGGGATTCGATGAGGGGAGAAAACTGGCCTGGAATACAGGGTACCCCAAACCTCTGGATACCCTGCCATCCAGATGTGGGTGGTCACAGTCCTGCTAGTTGGTAGGATTTGGCCCTTTTGTCAACACTGCCCACCATCACCAGAGTGCCCCTGACATCGTCAGACAGGGCAAGAAGCCAAGAAACACTAAGTGTGTGTAAGTGGGGCCCCTGGGGGAGCTGCAGATGGAGGTGCACACTGTGGGGACATTATCACATGCTTGGAAGGGATCAACTGTGCATTAGAGGTCACCTGCAGACCCAGGGACAACAGCTCAGTCACACCCCACCCTGCAAAGGGACCCCTCAAGCAGTTCTCAGTCCCCTGCACTTGGCTCCAGCGAGCATGCACCACATACCCCCCCCCCAGCCCCCGCCGCCCAGGTCTTTGTGCAGGCCCATGGCCCCCTTCACTCCTGCCACGCCCTGCCTTATCCCTGCAGTTTAAGCTCCCCTCTCCTCAGGGGCTGGGCAAAGGTGATAAGTCTACCTAGCGATCCCTTCTCGGTCAAGCTCCTCTCAGATGCTACCCTTTCTCCTTACATCACTCAGGTTCACAGCAGACCCTCTGGGAGGTACCACCTCAAGCTAGGCCCAGCCCTGAGCACAGAGACACACAGCTGAATGTCCCCAGCCCTGAGAGGGTCTTTCATATTGGTGACCCACACAGACTGCTTTCTGTTGCCTGGCATCTCCTCCCACATATTCATTTCACCTGTCAACAGTGTACACCCTTGCAGCCAGAAAGTCCACAGCAGAGACTCTTTGGAGCCTTCTGCAACTCGAGTTTGCTGACTAAATGAGAAGCTTCACTCATCACACTTCTGTCACCACTAGTAAGATGTAAGAAGGATCCCATGTCACCAGATCATAAAGACTGCACAACATCTGTCAAACACCCTCAGACACGGATCAGACACAGGCCCAGAGAAGGGAATGTCTTGCCACACAGGACCAAGGATGTTGCTGGAACTAAAACACAGACCTCTGAACTGTCCCACTGGGCCTCCCTCACCCTATCCAAAGTTGCGTAGTTATGGGCCACCAGCACTGGGGGGCTGGCACCAAATATCCCCTGCTTTGCTCCTTGCAGGGAAAGCTGGTCTCCCTGGCTCTGGGAGGACCCATCCTCAACGAGCCTCACAAAGAAGGGGGCAGGGAGCAGGACAGCTGAGGGGAGTGTCCAGCACAGCTGTGCCTGACTTGGGCCTCCTCCAAAGACAATCAACTGCCTGTTGATTGGGGTGACAGAGAGTGGGGTGACAGGTTAAGTCTACCCCCTGCTGGAATATCATGCACCAAGTTCCCCTGGGGTGGGGCAACGAGGGGGCCCCTAGTCTGTATGAGTAGGCAGGGATGGCATCCTAAGGTGAGGGAGATTGAAGTGGGACTCCACACTGCAGGCCCACTGCCCCCCAGGTTGGGAATCCCTCGGGCATCTGTTGTTACAACAGCATCAACGGTGACAACCAGCTCTGACACTAGGAGGGCTTCCTCCCTGGTTACATCCTAATTGCTGTCTAATTACCGCCTACATCAGTTCTCTGCTACAGTGACACCGTAGTAAATCCTGCCGTGTGGCAGTTCGCAGCCCACTCATGGCCCCTCTCATCTCCTGGCTATCTGACACCTCCCTACATGGGGCTCCACCCTGGCACTGGCTCCTCTCACACCAAGTAAGTGTTCTTCTTGCATCCCCATGGCTGCTCCTAACCATCTTGTCTCCAAAGAGAGACCTCTCCAGAGAGGGGAGGGATATCACCCCGGGTCAGAAGGCCAAATCTGTGGGAATCCAGCTCCTGGTAGAAGCACGAAGTTTCCCCCCCTAACTTCACCAACCCCTCCTGATAGTGATTCCAGCTGAGATTCATGGGGGCGGGGAGACCGGGACAGGGTGGGGAACAGGGACAATGAAAATAAATATAGTAACCAGCACCTAGAAGCCTTCGGTTCTCTCCCACATTGAAGCATCTTTCGGATTCCCTGGACAAGGGCTCCCCAGCTGCACCCGGAGTGGCTGGTGACCCAGCAGTACCGGCCTCGGCGGAGCGCTGGTTAGAAATGCCAGACTGGATCTGCACGTTAACGAGCCCCCTGCGATGTGTGTGAGCATCAAAGTGTGAGCGCGCTGCCCACATTCGCACCCACCCCGCGAAGGCGGATCCTCCCCGCTGCTCTCTGAGCTGTGCTTGAGCGGTGAGCAACAGGGCATGACTAAATGCACTTGAATCAAAAGGGAAAGAAAAGAAATCTCAGCCTCTCCAGCGCTCAGAGACAGAAATAGTTATGTGGCCTCCAGATGGACTGCGCAGACACCAGGGGAGGTCTCGCCTTCCCGCCAAACTTTCCCAACGGGATGCTGGCACGGCCCCGTGGAAACCGAAGTATATTTCTCTTTGAGGCAGCAAAATGAGAGGCTGTGGCTCGTGTAGTCCTTCTGTTATAATTAAGTTGGCCAGAAATTCACCTAAGGATACTAAATTCTGTACCTGACCCTCTAATTACAGCCAAGAGGGATCAGAAGACAATTACTTTCCAGAATAGTCCTTGGCGGGAGAAAGGCGTAAGACGGCGTCCTGGCACACCGCGACTGTGCCAACCGAGCGCACCCCGGGGCCGCCCAGCAACCCCTGCGCCTCCCTCCCTGGGTCCCTCTCCCTCTTCGCAGGCCCCCACCACAGGCCCCCAGACGTGCGGTGGCCAGACCTCCTAGAAGACTGCAGGCGGCCGTCACGGTGCCAGAGACCCCCAGGGGCAGAGGCGCCCTCCCCTTCGCCCTCCATAAACGCAGCATGCCTGCCTGATGACATCGGCCACCGCTCTAATGAAAACCTAACGGGCTAATGAAAAACACCCCCACTGCCCGCCAAGTGTGCAAAACAGAAAGTACCTCCTTGGGCAGCGACAGCCGCGGCCGCCGCCGCCGTGGCCACCGCGAGGGCCGAGGCCTTTCTGCCCGGGTCGGGGAAAGCCGGGCCCTCCAGGATCCCGCTCTTGGCGTCCTTCTTCTCCGTGGCAGGGGCCGAGGCGGACGTCTCCATCTCAGTCGCTCATAGCCCTGGGGGGCAGCCCTGAGGAAGAAGACAAAGACGTTCACCCACACTGGCCCCGACCCAGCCGGGAGCCGCCGACCCAGATTCCCGGGCGCGGCGCTGCCACGGCAGCCGACTCAGTTCTCTCATAATTGGGAAGGAGGGTTTAATTAATTTTGAGAATTATTAGTTCTGAGATTCATCTGGTCTTTGGAACGACCTCGCGGACAACAGGGGAGCGTTTTCATGGTCTTTTAGCCCAGATTTGAAAAATGAAGCAACAGGTTGCGCTGCTGTGGGTGCCGAGGAGCAAGAACCACCTTGACAGCAGCCGGGAGCCGTGACTTCAAGCTCCACGTCACCGGGCAATAAAAGCAAAGCTCATTACTTCTTACCGGGGCGCAAAGGAAAGTTCCTATTTCCTTGTTTCTTCCCTGCTCTCAGGACCCCTTTTATTATTTATTTGTACCTTCATTCATTTAGCAAATTGGTCATCATTTAATCACTTGCACACACTCAGTCAACCTATCCTTCAGAGCCTGTTCAGCACTGTGTCTGCTGTTGAACATACACTACACGGAGCTTTGGTTCTACTTGGGGGACATAATAAAGAGAAGGGAGGCTATAAATGTGTATTTAGTTTCAGTTGTTGAGAGGTCGCATGGAGAAAGAAAGCAGAGTGGCCAGACAGAGCAGGGTGGAGAGGCCAAGGTAGGGACGAGATGCCCTGGAGGGTCCCCAGCTGGCAGGAAGCAGAGGGCGGCCAGAAGGAGGAGGCGGGAGCAGAGGCCGGGATGGGAGGAGTCTGGCTTGTTTGAGGAGCAGCAAGGGGCGTGCAGGTCCAGCAGGGTTTTGCACAGGGTTGGGGGAAATAATAGTACTAAAGGGGTTACTCTGCTATCGAGTGGGAGAGCAAATCTGGGGTGAAAAGGCTCAAGAGCGACGACCCACAGAGATGTGGTGGTGGGTCTGGTTAAGGGAGCAGAGAAACAGCGACGTGATCTGAAGGCAGAGCTAACAGCCCTTGCTCTGCTCTGATGTGCGTGTGAAGGAAAGAGGAGTCGACGTGGTGCAGGGAAGACACTGGGGCATGCAGGACACAGAGAAGGCTCCCCTCCACTGAGTGGTGGGTGGCAAGCATTTCATTATTACATGTCATGACTTGCAGATATTACAATTGAGTATTTATCGCAAATGCGACAGGATAGTCATTTGAAAGCGAATTTTTTTAAAAGGAAGGGGTCAAAGTGTCAAAGATGGCTCATATAGTTTTGGCTGAGCACCTGGATGAACAGTGGGACCATTGGCCAAAATAAAGTAGAGTGGGGGAGAAGCAGTTTTAGGGGTAGAAATCAGCAGCTTAGTTTGGGGCATGTTAAGTTGGAAAGACCTACTAAAACATGCAGGGGAGGCGGGGAGTGGACTGCCAGAAATGCAAATTGGAGCCCAGGGGAGAGTGAAAGGTGAGAGATGGGAATGTGGCACCACTGGCAAGCTCTCCTAGAAAGTGTAGGTGAAGAGGGAACGTTCCAGAATGGAGACAAGGAACATTCCAACATTGGGCCATTCCAGTCAAAGAGAGTGAGCAGGAATGGGGCCCTGGAAGCGAACCCAAGAAAGAAATGCTTTGGAGAGGTGGAGCCGTCAGCTTCAGGTCAAGCCACAGAGACTGAGAAGATGGCCTGAGAGTTGAGCATGGCAGTGGCCCCGGGTGGGGCTAGGGAGAGAATGGCAGGGGTGGACACAGGCTAGGACAAAGTCATCAGGAAGTTTTGCTGTAGGAAAAAAAAGTAAAAAATGGGGCAATCACTGGAGTCAAGGAAGTCTGTGGTTGCTGCTACAGAAGGGAAAAGGGCGGGTTGGCATGCCCGTGGGAAGGGAATGTTCTGGTAGAGAACTCAGGGATTGCAGCGTGGCAGAAACCAAAGGCGGTGGTCAGCTCCATCCCCAGGGACCTCCAAGCTAAAATGACATCTGTAGGCACCACAATTTCATTTTTTAAAATTCACACAATACCCGCGTGCCTTTCTAAGTAGAAAATGGGTGTACACGAGAACCGTGGGCTCCGCGCATGAAAGACAGCCCCAGGCCCTGCCAGCTTGCCAAGTTCTGAACTCCCTGGTTTGTCTGCACATCCCAGTCTGTCTCCTTTCGATGGTTTTTCAGAGTTCCCTGTCCGGAAAACCCAAGGCAGATGAGGAGAAAAAAAATCTCCCTGAGGACTTGGTGAGTTATGGGGTTTCCTTTGGCCTTGATATTCAGGGATCACGGGCTGAGCCTTTAAGCCTATTTGTATAATCTGTTCTTTCAGACTTCAGCCATCTCTCCAAGTGGCCCACCCCAACATGCTCTGGTCCGTGCCTGCTCCTTCTTTCCTGCCCCACACTCTGCCCACAAAACCACCTGAGCTGCATACTCTGGTCCTGTCGTCCTCCCCATTCTCTCTGACATCTGATCAGCTGGAGTTCCCATGATTAATCCCCAAAGCAACTTGCCAGTGGTGCCTCTTTTGCTACCGCAAAGGAGCTCTGTACCCAGTTTCCTTCCCAGAAGGTCCCTTCTGGGACCTTCCTGACCACTTCTGGTCCTTCTCCAGGTCATCCTCTACCAGAGTCAGGCATCTTCCCCAAAAGTAAACTTCACTTCATCCCTCCCATGACCAAGGCCTTGTTGAGCCCTGCTGGCTTCAGGTTAAGTCTTCTTGTGCTTACCAGCACCTTCCCTTCCTGCCTCCCCTTCACACCCATATCCACAGCCCTTGACCTTCCCTCCAGGCAGGACCCTCTGAGTCTCTGTTCAATCCAGATTGCTGTGCCAGCCTCCAGAAGGAGTGTGCTGGAGGGCCCTTACTAGTCTACCAACTCCCAGACTACTTCAAAACGAGGTTGATTGGGAATAAAGAGTGACTGAATGTACAACGGCAAGCTCTTCCCCCATCATAAACTTCCTTTTTGTGTATGATGGACTCCTACTCCTCTTCAAGATGCCACTCAGACATCACCTCCTCCAGGAAGGCGCCCCCACTTCTCAAAGATCACTGTCACTTCCACTTCCAGACCCCTGAGCAACCCGACATGCCCTTACTATACTCATCATCACTTCCAAGTCAGGAGCTGCTGCCCACGCAGGCAGGCACAAAGCAACTGCTCAGGAATCCTGGCAAAAAAGTGGATCTTTGAGGTAGGAAAGCATAGCTCTTTGACATGCAATTGATTTTGTGAACAGCCTGGATTTTTCCTCTCAAGGAACTCTGATGAAGGAATTAAACACACCTTGCTTGGAAGTAAGGACAAATATCAAAATAGCAGCTGAAACAACAAACCTTTAACAAGGGTTTATCAGTCACCAAGCACTTTACACTAGAGGTCTCATTTAATCCTCACAACATTTAACCTAGAAAGAACTCAGAATTCAGAGAGGTTGAATAATGTGCCCAAAGACACAGACTTTAAAGAGGCTGTGCCAGGCCTTGAACCCAGGCTGTCTGCCCCCAAAGCTGTAGTCAGAAGCTCCACAGTGAACTGTTCCTCAGTACAAAGAGACCTGCCCCAGAATTTGCTGGTAGGCATTGAAGTAACTTACTGTTGAGCTCGTCAGGTGTTCCAGGAATCCAGGAGGACCCAGAAGCAGTATTTGGTATGACCCCTGCCCTGGTGCCATATCCCAGGTGGCAGGATTGGTGGATGGGAGCCACCAGCCAGGCTGAGCAAAAGCTGATGCTTTGTCCAGAGCTTCTTGCAAGCACCACGGCAGTGCAGGTGGCACCTGTCTGCTGAGGCTAGTGGGGGAGGAGCGTGCAGATGTACGTTCAGTCACTAAGTCTTTATTCCCTAATTCTTTATTGACAATCAGCCTCAGGCCTCACATTGAGTTAGGCTGTGAGTTGGTAGACTAGCAAAGATTCCTCCTGCATGCTCCCAAGTGAATCGGGCATCCTTCCCCTGGGTCTGAACCCTTCCCATCATCTTGGGACCCTCACACAGCCTGACCATAACCTGTTATGCACTCCCTGGCTCCTGCTCAATAGTGACTTCCACCGGGGCAAGACCTCGAGCCCTTGGTTCCCCAGGCACAGATGAGCAGGTGGTCAGCCCCCTTGTCAATGGGGTAATATAGGCACAGGGAACCAGGCTGGCATTTGAAGGGCACAGGGCTCAGTGGCACAGAAACCAGCAGAGGACTCAAGGCATCAACAATGTCAGCACATGTACCAGACGCTAACCTCACCCTCAGAGAGGGACAGGGAAGCTCCCTGCAGGTATCCCCAAACCCAGATGGGGAAACAGGGACTCACAGACTTTAGTGTCAGACCCTCAGACTTTAGGGTCATGGATCAAGGTAAGAAAGAGGCTCAAGAAGGAACTGTGAAAACTGGGACAAGGAATTGGAAAAAAGAGGAGGAAAAGGTTTTTCTTGGGGAACAGCTGTTATAGCTCCCTCACCCTAATATCTCCGTGCTGTTGTACCGTCACAACGGATGCCATTCTCTCCATTCTGACAGAGGAGGAGGTGAGCAGTCAAATGAAAGGATCAGGTCCTCTAGCCATAATGCTACCTTGGAGTCCTAGGCCACAGCCACTAGGGGACCAGGTGAACAGAGTGTGTGGAAAAGGGACATTTACTAAGATTCCCACTGCCCATTCTGGTCTAGGGATAGAGATGCCCATGTAGGCCCCAGGGGATTCATGAACACCTGTGCGGAGCTGACCCAGAGAGGGTGCCTGGGCAGTGCCCACTGTGCCACAGACCAGCCACTGCCAGCCCATCCCGCCCCCTCCAGGAGAGGAAAGCAGCAGACAGAGCAGAGAGCTGTATAAATCTCAGGAATTAGAGGGATTAGCACAATTTCTGGGTAAACACCCGGAGCCCAGGGTCCCAGGCAGTCACTTTCACTCCCTAAAACTCTTTCAAGGCAGCTTCTCAGCCTCATTTGAGCCCCCAGAGGCCAGCTGGGGGCCATAGGGAGGGACCACATTCTGGGCTCAGAGCTCAGCCTAAGGTCATAACACTTACCAGGGGGAGGAGCACCAACACCCCAACTTCACCCAGGAAAAACAGCTCTAACACATCCAAACAATGCACCACAAGAGAGGCACCCCACACCTGGGGTTTGCTAAGGGAAGGAGGAACACTCTTCCCATTAGGAGACTGCACACAGATCACTGCCTCCCAGGACTCCAGCATGCTCTGGGAGCACTGGCACTCTAAGAACTTCTGGAATCATACCCAGGTCTTTCCTGGCAAAGTGATTCCAGAGGTCTGGATGGAAGGGGGGGAACAAAAGAGGTGCATTTTTTTTAAAGAGCTCCACGGGTGTTTCTGATGCAAAGGCAGGTTTAGGAAACACTGCATGTGTGTGTCTGGGGGTGGGTGTGCTCATAGGTTGCTTCCACCTCCTAAATAATTTATAAATTCCAGTTAAAGCAAAGATGCATAATCTGAATGGCGAAAGACACATTTTTATCCTCTTTAACTTGGAAATTAAAGTAGCTGGTATCTCCAGAAAAATGAACATGGGCAACAAGCCACAGTGCCCAGGAGCCTGCCAGCAGCCCAAGGCACAGACCTGTCCACACTGCACCACGGCGTCCAGCTGAAGTCCATCATCAGACCCCCCTGATCTGGCCGCAAATGGGTCCATGTAGTACTATAGCACGGAGTGGTGCCTTCAACATTTGATCATTACACTCAAGACCACTGGTTTCTTTCATAAGCCTATGTATTTCATTCGATGCATTTGCAGCAATATTCTGAGGAGGGATTGATCCATGGCACAGAAAAGGTTAAGAACTCTGAGGGAAAGGCCTAAAGAATAAATTAATAATCAGAGCAGAATGAGCGAATCGTTCTAAAACCTGCAACCCCAGACACCCTCCCGCCACCTGGCTGCTTTGAACTCCTCTAACGAGTGAGTCACAGGAATTAGAGCGTCTTCCCCAGGCGAAATCAATCTCCAGGAGAGAGATGAAACCTCGCCTCCCAGCGACCGCAGCCACCGTGGGGCCATGGCGTTCCCACCTCCTCTCTGATCTCAACCACACGGCATGTGCACCAGGGCCCCACACGCATGGACACGCACTGGCACACAAACAACACACATAACATAGAATAACCACCACAACCACATGCACGGTCACACACGTGCATACACACTGTACCTACAGTCATATGTGTGTTCATAGGCATACTATCATGGCACAGACACAGTCACAAACCATGCATGCACATATTCATAAGCCACCACATGCATGGCCCAAACATGCATGCAGGACATGCATACTTACATGCATACAGGGATGCACACACACACACACACATGCACACTCGCTCACACACGCGTAGCTGTACAAGGAGACACAGACCCTGACTAACAAACACACACATGAGATAATAAATACCTGCCCTGCCTTGATCACAGACTTATTTTTAAGATCAAATGAGATAAAAACACGTGAACGTTCCTGGAGTGAAAAACACATTGCCAATGCAACAGAGATTAAAGGTAATGATAATTATAACCTCATTATCACCAAAAAGAGAGCAACAGATTCATGGCTGCGGTCCCGAGGACTCGTCCTGCGCCGCCCTGAGTGACTGAGCACCAGTTCCCGGCATTCCGGTGTGGCCATCTGGAAAATGGACACTCTAAAGGGTGCTTTTGACTTATGAGATACCAGCCTGTCACCGTGCAGAGGCCGGTCACGCAGAAGCACGGGGGCTATGACTCCCCACACTGGAGGTAACTGGAGGAGCCAGACATGCGCTACAGCCCAGTCCCCACCTGGATGAAAAGAGACACTCCTCCACCTCGATGAGAAAAGGACAGTGGGTGAGGAGGGGGTTCCCCAGGACTACACCGAGCTTGCCCCTCATAGTCAGGGTTATAGTCAGATAACCCTATTTTATTCATGTGCTTTATTCTCCCAGAGTGAGAGAATAAACACACACGTGAGCTGTGTGTTTCTAGCCATGTGACTTTCCCTCTCTGGGGCTCCCCTACAACACAGGCATCCTCCCTCCCACGCAGGCCAATCGTTAATACAAACTACAGGAGCAACTGCACCAGCTTTGGGTCCCCAGAAGAGTCAGTTCAGGGGCTGGCAGAACAGGAGAACCCCCACAGGCAGACACATTTCTCCAAGAAAAGATCGGCACCTTCAGGGCCCAGGGGCAGCCAGGGCTTCTGCCAGCTACGTGTGCCACGTGCTCACCTACGGGACCTCAGGTCCAGCTGTTTTGATATTTTTGCCCACCTGCCTGAGTCCATATGGGAAACCAAAGCTACTGAGACTTCATCAGGGTCCAGCAGTATCTCAGTTCCTAGGAAACCCAGACAGGGGGCTAAGAAGGAGCTCTGAGACTGGGACCAGGCAGGGCTGGGGATGTAACTGACTTCATCACACAAGGGAGGGGACAGCCATGTCACAGATCTGGTCCCCTGGCCCCTCCTCCCTCTTCCCGTGACCAGACACTAGCAGGGGAACGAACAGCTCCTGTCTGGGCCGGCCCCTCTCACACCACCCTGGCTAGGGGTTCTCATAGCACACTGAGGGCGGGGGGCCAAACTCAAAGGGGAACGCAGGACCTGTGTCGGACCCTGGCCTAGTCAGATAGGGGGAAAGGCTGTGCCACGGATGGTGAGGGTTGTACACAGCCGAGGTGATCAAGAACCTCAGACGGGGCGTTGGGTGTGAGACACCAGCACACACTAGCAGATCCCTACCCATGCAGACCCCTCCGTCTCCACGTGGCCTTGGCACGTGGCCAGCTACACTGTAGGCTGTAAGGGTAAGAAAAGCAGACACAGCCAGAAAAGAGCACAAAGCTCTTCTGAAACGCCTTGTGAGTTTCAGGCCAGAGGTGTCACTATCAGAGCAAGGAAAGAATAAAATCTCAAGCACCCGTAAGTGCCCGGGCCAGGGCAGCTATCCGTGTTATCTCACCACTCTCTGTGGTTACTGCTGTGAGGCCACTATCACGATCCTCGATTCCCAGTAAAGCAGGGGCCCACAGAGAGCAAGCAACCAGGCCAAAGTGACACAGATAACATTCAGCAGCGCTGCTGTTCCAGTGCTCATCTGCTGGATTCTGAAGCCTACGTATTTTCCAGTTTTTCCATCGTAGCCAAATTCTGTGTGTGTGTGTGTGTGTGTGTGTGTGTGTGTGTGTGTGTGTGTGTAGACATCTGCCACATGCAGGTAATATTACAGGTGCCAAAAGGCATAATTTGTAGACAGTCTATAGACGTCTGTGCTAAATGTCATAGAGAAAGACTATGCGACAGGAGCTCAAGCAGGGAGGGCTGCCAGCGAGGGAGGCTGGCAAGGGGTGGGCTTTGGATCACCCAGCTGACCTTCTCTGTGACTTCAAGATGGGAAATGAAAGGCCTTGACCCTGCTGTGCAGAAAGGAGAGGAAGGCAACTCCAGGGACAGGAAATGCCGTGTGCCTGCACCTTGGCACATTCTGGAGAAATGGAGAAACAAGAATGGTGTTCCCATAAGAGAAAGAAGCAGGAGATAAGCCGGGATGAAGGGGAACTGTGGGCGCCAACAGGGCCCAGGAAGGACATGTTGAGGAAGGATGCACTTCCTTGCCCCTCGGTCTCACACAATCCCAGCTGCTCCAGGAGCTGCAGACCAGAGGTGTAGAAGTTGTAGAAATTGAGGGCCAAGCCCTCAAGGCTCCCACTGTGGACAAGGGCGGGTACCATGTAAAAATCACTCTCCTAGCGGGTGCACCTGCTTCTTTATCACTGCTTAAATATATTTTTCTGACTATGAAAGCTCCCTAATTTGCCCAGCCCCTGGGCTTGCTGGTGTGCAGGAAAACAGATAATTAACCTTAATTCACTGACTTGCTGGGCCGGAACAGCAGCCAGGGAGGCCCCCGATGGGAAATGTAGGCCCCTCCTGTGGCAGCCAACCTCAGATAAGGGGGAGATGGGTATCAGGAGGGCTGGAACTGGGTTTTTTCCAGGAGGGTATGGGTAAAAGCTACTTCGTGATTGACACTCCTGATGGCATCTCAACTTGTGTTTTTTGCACACAGGTTTATTCCCTAAAAATAAAAGGCCGTCTCCATTCCTCAGCCTTTGCATCCCCCTATGCTTTCCTGCTCAGAACATTCTTTCCTCTCTACCCAAACCAAGGAAGCCATGATTTAAAGCCCGGGAAGGCTGCCCTCCCACCCAGAGTCCTGTTTGGAGCTAACCAACTTCCTCACACTGCTTCTGAAATGTTTGCCCCGTTCCCCACTCACGTGGCAGCTCCAACACATGGAGATGGGGTGTGGGGAGTGCAGACCCTGGAGAAAAAGTAGGCCCACGTTCCAATCCCACCTCCGTCTAGAGCTCGCGACCAGAACGAACTTATCCCTTACCCTCAGTTTCCTCAGCTGTAAACTGGGGGTGACAAGGGCACCTCCCTGGAGGTGAGGATGAAAAGCATGGGCATCTGAGAGTCCCAACTCAAACATACACTGCATCCCCCTCACTGCAGCTGTGGCGAAGCTGCCCCATCTGAGGGACAGGAAGACAGAAGGCCTGACCAACACTAGACAAAGTAGCTGGCACACCCCCTTCCTCTCTGCCTGCCTGCTGGACCCTCTTCCACCCATCCTCTTGCTGGTGCCTCTGTAGTCAAACATGAGAAGTCTCAGGTTGGAGTCCTTATGCAAAGTGCTGTCCTGCTCCTTAGCAGATGCCCGCTGTCTTGTCCTCCGAGCTCCAAAGCAGCAAACACCCAAGGGCTGGGGGGTCTCTCCCTGACACCCGCAACGAGCACACTGCCAGCAGAGGCAAGCTCCCAACTCGACTCATGCCAGGAGGCTGCTGTCTGTTGGGCGAACAAGGGCCTGCTGTGTAACCACCCAGCCAGACCTAGATATTTTAACAGCTGCATTGTGTGTTTCTGAGGCGTAATTCCTGAGCAGGGAGGAAAAACAAGCTTTGCCTCTGCCCTGGGAGGAAAACAGACTGCCCTGGGCAGGCCGAAGGGGGGGGAAGCCTCCACTGGGCCCAGAGCTGTGGATGGAACAGGCTTGGCATGCAGGAACCTGCAGGGCCAAAGTCCCTGCAAGGACCTCTTCATTCAAGACCAAGTGCGGGGGAAACCAGGACAAGATATTCAGAGTGGAGAAACTGCCCAAAGGAAGCTCCGAGAGGGGAAGAAGAGAAAAGTGTGGAGACGCCCACAGGATAAGATCCAAACCCCACCTTGGGATCTGCCCCACCTACCCCTCCAGGCTACTTCCCCTGGTGGGCTAAATCCAGCTCCCCACCAATCATGCTGCTTCTGCTTATCACATCTCCAGCTCTGCCTGAGACCGTCCCTCTGCCACCCAAAGCCCTCCCTACTGAGGCCAGGTTAGGGGCTCTGTGCTGTCTTGTGCCTCCTGAGGTCAAGGTCCAATGTCACTCTGTTTTACAGACCTGTTATATATCTGTTCCCTCAATGGAGGTTTGATGATTGACTCAATGCGTAAATGCTCTCTGGCACTTCAGCCTGCAAGGAACCCTCCTCTCTTCCCTGTCCCTCAGGCCTCCATATCCACAAGGTCAAGGTGACTTCTGTGACCAATCTGCACTATGGGGTGAGGGCTGGGGAGTGGGGGGTGACAGGGACTTGGGAGTGTGCTGAGGGCCAGGGGCTCAGGCTGTCTCCTCAGGTCAGGGTTGCTGCTCTAATCAACTACTAATGTCTGCCACAGGCCGCATTGCTATGAAATCAGTCTTCAGAGGATAACAACTACAGGCATTTGAAAGCACTCTTTCTCTTAAAGTCTAAAGTCCTTGAGAGCAAAGACTTTGCTACGCATAGTGCTAGTACCCAAGTCTATAAATATCGAGCACCTACTGTGCTGTAGGCACACATCATTTTCAAGAGGAATAAAAAATCGAGTGCTTGCTGCTTAAAAGGTGCTTTTTGAGCCATTATGCATGCACTCAAAAGGGCTATTTTCTCCTAGGGACTTTGCAAGCTGGGGAGTGGCATTTGGGGTCAGAAGCAGGATACAGATGTTTTTTCCATGATGTGCCTCAAACTGTAGCCTCAAGAGGAGCAGGGGGAACTTGGACCTGAATTTG